AACGAGAGGAAAATGATAAACACTACAATGGTAGAGTATTCGATAAAAATAGAAGAAGGTGTAATCCAAACGCGAGGCATACTATAAGGAAAGAGCGTCTCGATAATGGCTCATGCCTAGAAGAAGAAGAGTGAGAGGGTTTCTGGAACCCGCCAACTGCGAGTTGCATCAGGCATCAAGCGGATCCGGATGCCAACCCAGTGGTCCTCCAGCTCCACTAAGACACTTTTCGACATTGAGGCTCAGATTTAGAGAGCACAACACCCCACAAAAAAGATGCGCCATTAATTACTGCCATTCATATCGTAACTCCTCATGGAATGGTTGGGCATTTTTTTCCTGAAGTCCCGGCGGGATCACCTTCTCGCAGCCTAAAACCATCTACCGCACTGAACCGCTTTAGAAACGGAGTTAAAGATCAATTAGACTTGCAAGATGAGTCACCTAGCGTCATTAAGACCACCCGGTAGTTGGTAGAGGAGATAATGCCTATTGTTTTCTTCCAAAAACCCCAAATATGCAATTCAGTCCACTTAAGGGGAACCTGTTTGGATTTTTTCGTTTTTTCGGGCGAAACAACATCCTATTTTCGGTTCCGCGGCAAAAATTTTCTCGATCGATATCTTAGTCTCGGAATGTTCCTTGCAACCTTTCCGTCATAACTGGCAGCAACGAAAACCATCGATCAGTTGCTGAAAAGCACCCATCACTGATTGACGAAGTTATCTGAAAAATTACTTGAAATATGGAAAGTTTTTCGCCATCATCGAAAGCATTTATCGTCATTATTATCACAAGTTATTCATCGTTATCGCGAAAACACTGAAGAAAGATGACATAAAAAGGTGAAAGACATGCGTGAAAGTGTCGTCTACATTGGAGGGTGGGGTGAATAGAAGTGTTCCCGCGACGGATGCATATTAAAGTGCCAGTGCCGACTCTAACTCTTTTTATACGACATAATCCAGGGTAAAACCGCCTGATTCGGGTTTTGGTAGAGCCCCCCGCTTTCCCCGTTTTTCTAGAAGGGTTGTTTACGACCCTTGCTTCAGGCTCCTCATTCGAGGTGGCTCGAGGCGGGGGGGGCCGCACACGCGCACCACAAACAGACATGAAACAGGAAGAATCAGAAGTCAAGGACAGACCTCCTTAGAACGGAAATACGACCCCGCTCCAACAAGCGAAAGTAATCCCGCCCCCCAGCCCCTTTGCAACGTCCGTGGAAAGCAAGAAAAATCAACTCTCAAATACGAATTTTTCTCGAAGCCCAAGTACGCCCCCCTCTCCCGAAGGGCAAAATAAAACCCGCTTTTGGGAGATGTGCCCTGACACATCTATGCCGCTGCATCGTTGGATATCCTCGCAGATTGTAGCAGCCACAGCCTCTGTCAGCCTCAGATGTGGGCCTTCAAGGTGTGCGCTGGCGTAAGGGTGCGTGTTAGGCTCTCCGCGCTGTGTCGTCGCCGCTTCCCTGTTCCTGACAGTATTAGGAAACAGGAGTGCGTCGTAAGACACGAGTTTCCGGGTATGTGGCAAGAGAATTGTAATTCGCCGCGTCAGTGGGCCGTTAGCGCGCGCTAATGACAATGGTATGACCAAGAGGTCAGACTTATACGTCCACGATTCCCTGTCTACAGATGCTCCATCGAAAGGGTAGTGCAAAATAAGGAAACGTCGCGCCCACTTCTCCGGCCCAAAGACCTTAATTGTCAAACGTACATTTCACGCCAGCGAAGTCAGTCGTCTCGCGTCGCGGTCATTGCGCGCGATTGAATGTGGATTCCTGTCAGATGATATTGACAATTAAGTTCTTCTATTACAGAAGAACTTAATTGTCAATATCATCTGACAGGAATCCACATTCAATCGATCAACGCACGCCGCGCAATGACCGCGACGCGAGACGACTGATAGCTGGCGTGAAATGTACGTTTGACAATTAAGTTCTTCTTCTGCTGCCGCGCGACGAAGCGGCAATTTACGATTCTCCTTTGCCCGATTCCGGCCAGAGTTTCTCGCTTTGTGAGAGGTCATAAGACGAAAAGCACCTCGTGAACATGTCATATGCATGGTAGCACAACATTAACTGCCTCAATATGGACTGGATCATAAACAGTAGTCTAGCGCATTCTACTTAATACCTTAGTTTCCTAAGCATAGAGCCGGTATACAATTGAGTGTGGTGATCACAAAACTAATTTGGAGCCATTATTGTGGCAGCAGATGCGAGGACCAAATAGAAAACGAAAAATCGATCTTCGAAAGCTCATTGTGAGAAGAAAACAGTAAGATAAGGCTTAATACAGTTTTTTTTTTTCTTGTGACTGTCCACTTTAGCAACTAAGATGAGAGAACGCTAAACGAGCTATATCATTGGGTGAATTAAGCTGTAAAAGCTTGTTTCCTCAAACCTTAATGCGACGAACCGTACCAACATCATACCCGTGGGTCCTGGGTCATCGCCATGTGTAAGGTCAATGGAGAGCAGCTGGCAGTAGCGCAACCCGCCTTTTCCAGAAGTGCCCCGGCACGGGGCTGGAAGGCAGTGGTACCTGAGTGCCATTCCCATACTCCGCACGCGCTGCCTCACTGCCAGCCACACACCTTGACCATAGGCCAAACGCTCTACTTGACTGGCGCCTCTCCTTTCTGATAATCTCCCACGCTTCGACCGTGTTTTATGCGGATCTATGGCCGGCGACGCAAGTGCCTGCCGTACTTGGGGCCATAGCGCTGGACGGAGTATGGGAGGCGACACCGCGTGTTTCTACCTCACGAGCTCCTTTTCGAGCACCTATCGAGCGAAAGAGT